TCTTTCCCTTCCCCCATAGGCTCTCTCTCTTTCCTGCTTCCTTTTCTTCCCACCTATCAGCCAACTGTTCCTTCCCACCTACCAGCCAACTTAGCTTTATCTACCCCCATCTTCAGCTTTCCCTCCTTTCCTCTCCCTTTCTCTTTTCATAAAAGATTCTCGTCCAGTTGCATGGTGCCAGCCACTAGGCTGGGCTCGGTTGCAGGGTGCCAGGCCAAGTTGCACTGTGGGGAACCTGCAATGAGTTGCAGGGGACACCTCATTTCCCCCAGTATCCTCATCCCCACAGTATTTCCCCTTTCTCTCCTCCTGTCAGCCCCCATATCCTTCCCATCCACAAGCCAACCCACTTTTTTCTGCCCCCATGTTCAAATTTCAATCCTTCTCTCCTGCTGACAGCCTCCCCTTGGGAAAATTCTGACAGTAATTCCAATTCAATTCCAATTCCAACCTTTAATGGCATAAAATACATAATCAAGTATATACATGATGTAAAAAGGATTTACAATATGTAAATAGTTACACATACAGTCATACTTAGTCAGGTTTGGATTTAAGAAACTGGCTACAGCCTCAGCGATCTCCTACTTAGTATCACTCAGTGAATGCCAACAGAAAGAAAAATTAGTAAATAGTCAAGGGGTAAGGGGAGCTTTCGAAATAGTTCCTTACTAAGATTATCCTACCGAGAACAGTGGACAATATATGCTGAATTGAGTGGGTGGAATTCACTCTGCAGGAGCAGAGTCTTTCATTCAGAGGTACTCAATGATATCTCCTCTCTAAAACTTTAGAGGGGAATGCATTTAATCTGGCCAGCATAAATGCCCCACGGTGGTTCAGAGTCATTAGGTCTGATAAATAATGGGGCATATCGCAGAAAATACTGAGACCAAATGAAGCTGAAGAGCAAGTATAAGGATTAACTGGACATAAGTTTCTCCCAGTCTTACAGTCTCTGTTTAACACAACTAAAGATATATGACTCATTAGATGTAGAACAATCATCAACTACTATCCCTAATTGGTTGAGTTTGGACATGAGAGCCACTGAGCAACTTGAGGTATAGAGATCTCTTTTCAGATAATTGAGAAGGCTTTCAGGATCAGTTCTAAAATGAATTTTAAGCTAAATATTGACAGTATTTTGTCCTGATGGGATAAGTGGCAAAGCAAATCTCTTTCTCATTCCTCTCCCATGGCATTGGCCACTCTTGAATTAAGTTTAAAATTACATTGGATAGAGCAGCAATTTAACATCGGGGAGTTATTAAACTGGACCATTTTTGATAAAAATAATTTAAAAAATAAAAAATAATAATTTTATACCCTATTAAACAGTATGTCAGTGTAGTAGTTATTCCATTTCATGGCTTCAATATTTATAGTTAAGCAGCTTTTTGTGTCAAAAGAATTGTAAGGGCGACAAAAACAAAGTAAAATATCAGTTTACTATAGCTATATGTTAGAAATTAATAGTAATGCGACTCCCAGGTACGTTAAGAAATGACAGAAATCTTTACGATATGTTGTTGACTCCAAAATTTGATCTTATCTTCTGTCCAAGGACTCTTCTTTGTCTGTTTCAACATTATTTAAGGAGAATATATGCAAGATGTTGCATCAGTGGCATCTGTCACCACTTATAATAGCAAGAATAGGAAGTGAGAACACAAAATAAACACTGTGAAACCAACAGATATACCCTAAAAACCCAAGTCCTTAATCCCAGTACAAATGGATTCACAAGTGTGTCTCCATCAATCCAAGGACTTCCGCATACATGCGCTGAGGAGCATCCAGTCCCCAAATGAAGTCCCAGTAGTTCCAATCAGGAAAATGTTTGTAATGAATGAGATTAGTGATTCGAGACAATAATTGCATGGTTTCATCCGGCTGGCAAATCCAGTCCTGTCCTCCACTCCACATTGCTATCGGCACCATGATCTCTTCTATCCTATAAGGAGGAGGGATCGTCTGGCGAAAGGCAAAAAGCAAACAAAATGAATTTAATTCACCAGAGAAATTCCAGATAGAGCAATATTGGAAATTGTGGTGAATCTATTTAATTCAGAAGAAAATCAGCTATTTTTTCCCCAAAGACTCAATGCACACGATTACTTAGGGCCTCCAGTGTTTGTTCATTCCTTTCCAAATACACAGAAAATAAAAATCCAGCATATTCCTACCTGATTGTATTTTTCTATATTTCTTGAGCCATAGTCAAAGAATCTGAGTTCTCCTGTTTTAAATGACTAGAAAATGAAATGGAACACAAGGGTTGAATGAGTACAGTACTATGTCACAGAAAGCCAAGATGAAGTCAAGAAGAGGATACTTGTTAAGAGTATTTCATTATGATGATTATTAATCATCTCAAAGAGATTAAACACTGACATAAAGACAAATATCAAGTCTTCTAATAATGGTACCTTAGAAAGAGAAAGCTTTATATCTCCATGCAGATTCAGTCTCCATCCTTACAGCTGAATGTTACCTTTGCTTAGGTTCTCCAAAATGCCCTCATGCTCAGTTTTGTTAATGATGGCATTTGATTACTAGTTCTCGTGCCTACCATCAGTTTTAAATTGTTAATCTTAACTAATGGCTTTTATGCATTTTGTTATTATTTACATTGTAAGCCTCCTTGAGTTCCTATAAGGTAGAAAGGCAGCTAATGAATGTTTTAAACTAATTAATTAAAACTTCACGTTGGCCAGACTGAATACGTTTCCGTCGAATATAGTCTTGGGCCGCTTTCAGGGAATCCCGTTCTCTGAACGGCTGTGCGACTGTAACCTAGGTAGGGTGGAGACGATGGATCACATAGTGCTAGCTTGCCCCAACTGGAAGATGGAGAGGCAGAAGTATATTATACCTATCTTGACAAAAGAAAATCTCCCCTCCCTTCCCTGGTCAATTTCTGTTCTTTTATCCGACAGAGCTGATTCAGTCACCAAAGCAGTGGCCACGTTTTTGGCCCTGGTGGCAAAAAAAAAAGGAACAAGGAGGGGAAAGTTCAAACTGTGCTGATTTGATGTAGCGGGTACCAGTTGGAAGAATTATCTCATGTGGTTTGACGATTTTAGCCAGTGTAACACACTCATATTGGGATAACATACCCTATTGTCCATGTATGAGCTTTTTAAATAGTCTTGATGTTTTACTTGTTGGTTTTATTGCATAAATGTGTGTACGTGTGCTTAAGACTACTGGTCATGCAAGCCGAAATAAAATATATATATATATTAATTAAAACTGCTGTCCAATTAATACAATTAATTAATTAATGGGTTAAAAGTACCGTGTGGGATTTTCACTAGTTCAGCAGAATGGGCAAATGTCACAATATCAGTGAACATGTCAGCTCATTTAACTTTTCCTACATCAGGATGATTATTAAAGAAAATGTAGTTCATGATAAAGGAGCTGGCCACAAACTTTATCATGCATAGAGAAACTTGAGTGAGCTCATTGTTAACAGTTTTCCTTTCTACAAAATCCTTGGCCCTCTATACTCATGGGGGAAAGTTTGGTGGTTGATTCACTACATGGCAGTCCAGATTTCTTTCACTCACTGGTTTTCTCTCTTGTCTATTGTTTTAAACTATTTTCAGTACATAGAAGTTTGCTATTAGTGCAGGAACATTTCTGCCTTTTCATTTATCTCTAGCTTCTATACTTCTGATTAGGTAGCTGATTTCTGATTAGAAAATCAATACTTGATTGGGTCTTGAATTCCTACTACTCAATATGATCATTTTACCTCAGAAATAGAGCTGAAGGGCATTTCCTTAAACAAAACTATAATATTATAGTATTGTAAACAGACAACATTCAGTTATAGTAACCCTACCTGACTCCAGTGGATACCATTTTTCACAGATGTATAATCTGGGAATATTGACACATACACATCAGTCCGGCTCTGTAAGAAATTAAAATAAGAAGGCCACATTGGACCAAGCCAATGGCCCATCCAGTCCAATGCTCTATGTCACACAGTGGTCAAAATCCAGGTGCCATCAGGAGGTCCACCAGCAGGGCCAGAACTCCAAAAGCCCTCCCACTATTGCTCCCCAAAACACCAAGAATACAGAGCATCACTGCCCCAAACAAATGACTTTTTTCTACTGGAACAGGACCCATTCACTCATGCACTACAGATTAACTTTAAGGTATAGATTCATTATAATAGCTACTAAGGATGTGCAAAAAAGAATTTAACTAGCTTTTTTTGTTGTTGTTCGAATCTATTGGACTTGAAAGAAAATCGGGATTTTCAAAAAATCCCAGATAACAATACCAGTAAGGTATTCATTTCTGGGGTATTTCAGAAATTGGTAAGGTATTTTTCAGGTAGATTTTCGACTTGGGTAGACCCAAATGCACACCCCTAATAGCTACACCATTAGTCAGGGCTCCTCAAGACATTAACAAGTCAGGGCATTTTCTGGGGCCTCCAGAACATAAACAGGCCCATTTCACAAATACTGCTGCAGTGCTCATTTATGGAATATTCCAAGAAGGCCAGTGGAAAAATGAGAAAATTTGTGGTTGTACATGCTATGCCTGTTCTAATTAAAAGCATGAGGGACTGTGGGTATCTTATCTGAAGACTCGGCCTCCCCCAAATACTAGTTCTATTAGCCCTCTCCAACTGCACCGAAGCATTACCAGTCTCTCATAGTACCCTCACAGACTTCATAGTATCCTCCATGAAGAGTCTCAGAGCAAAGGTTATTTTCTTTTTTAAAAAAACAAACAAAAACAGCATCATATTTTGCTGGTGGCCAAGTGAAAATTATTATGCTGGGGTAAAGTACAGAAATCGTCGCTAAGGGATCATTCTAGAAACTTCAAGAGATTTGCCAGCTAGTTAGCAGAGGTACTAGGACGGCAAGGCTGGGAAGAGAATTTTAAGAGGAAGGACACTGAAACATCACCTGTTAGGTGAGGAAGTAAATTAGGAGAAAGCCTTCAGCTCTGTCAAAAATCAAGCTGACACCAGGTTCTGAACCAGTGACCTGAGCAGTGGCAGATTAGCTTTTCTTTCTGGCTGTGGTGGCAACAGGAAAATTAATCAAAACAGGCAAGCAAGCCTGTTTGTACCAATAGTAGGGCAAGTAAATTGTTGTTTCCGGCTACCTACAAGAGCATAAAGGTCAAGATTTCCCAGGTGTTTGAGCAACAATGTAATCTGCTGTTGCTGTCTGTACACCTGCCCTTCATCCTGCTCCCTTGCAGTTTTATTTATTTATTTATGCCGTTTCTACCCCACCCTCCACATGAGTGGGCTTAGGGCAGCTTACAGCAATGGCACCAGTTGCCAAGAAAACAATAAAACAGTATAAAACAATATATAAAACAATATGAAACAACAGTTGTGCCCACCAATCCTCAAATGCACAGAAGCTACCTCTGACACTCTTCAAATCTTAACGCAAAGCACTCAAATAAAAATTAAATACACAGAAATACCTGATTGAGATTTTTTTCATTAAATCCACTGACAAGGAAGAGAGCTTGCTCGCAAAGCACATCCACTAGTTGGCAACTGCATTTTTGGGCCGCACTCGCTTTCAGGCTTGGACTCAACAGACACAGTTCTTTCGTGCCAAATATAATCTATATAAAAAGAGTGGAATCTTCACTCCATGAACTGCTCAAAAATCTTAATACAGCAATAAATGTACTCTTATAGGTCATAACAAGTGTGTGTGCACACACGTGCATGTATGTAAATTAAAACATTGGGGGCAGGGCCGGCCCGAGGTTGTCCTGCACTCTAGGCGAGTGCAGATGCCAACCTCCTGGTGGGGCCTGGAGACGCGCTCTGGGCGTCCTCTTCCCCGGGGCGGGTGGGATGTGGGGGGGATCTGGGTTTGCTCGTCCCCGCCCCCCCCCGCAGCCGGGCAGGAGAGGCCGAGAAAGAAGGTGGCAGGGGAGAGGAGGGAAGTGGGCGGGTCTGGGGGTCTGGGCATCCCCGGCCCTCCTCCTCCTCTCCCCCCGTCACCGGACAGGAGAGGCTGAGGAAGAAGAAGGCATGGGGGAGCGGGGAAAAGGAAAGCGCAGCGCCGGAGAAGGGCCACTCCTGCCCACCCCCCGCCCCGGCCAGCATTCCTCCCCCGGCTGCTGCCGCCGCCACTGCACGGACCTCCTGAGGCACCGGGGCTGGCGGCTGCCCCTTTGCCTTGGTGCCTGCCTGAGCGCGTGCGTGCGCTCACTCCCCGGAGGGAGGCTGGAGACGCAGCCAGAGGCTGGGAGAAAATGACCATCACTTGTAAAGGTCAGAGGTTGGTGGGGGGTTAAGAAAAGGATGGGACTGCTGAGTATCCTCCTATGGCACTGAGAAAAAGAGGGTTTGGGGGGGTTGTAGGTTAAGTGGAACATAAGAGGGTTGGGGGGGGGGGTTGTAGGTTAAGGGGAACATAATTGGATAAAAGCCACTTGTATCAACACCCACATACAAAGAGCCCACAAATGTGTAAGGTGAGAGAAAGGGGAAGAAATATGAAGGAGGACATTTAAATTTGAAATCTGAATGTTGATAGGAGAAGTGACCTCTCAAGGAAGGGGACAAACTGGAAGAGCTGGCCTTTGACCTGCATGGGACACATCTCCACTGAGTTCCCTCTCATCCCCAGATTCCATCCTCTCTAGGCACAGCCCCCAAATCTCCAAGAATTCCCCAAGCTGAAGGTGGCAACATGGATACTATGCTGTAATGTCTATACAGGCTGTAATGTCTATACAGGCTGTGAGGTAAAAGACGTCTTAATTTTTGAAACCAGGCGCTGACTCAATTTTCACAAAGAAGATGTTCAAAAATTGAATTTACCATGCTCATATTCTCTTGACTCAAGCACTCCATGATAATCCTACTGATAATTTCTTCACTATTGCAAACGAGAAGTATTTCAAGTAGTTTGGTTTCTGGTGATGGCAGCATTCAGCTTAATGGCTTCAACAACTAAGAAGTTGGTTGCTTGGAGTATGTATGTTTCAGTGTCATTATGGCCACATCATTCATCTTTTAACAGAGAATGCATGCAAAATCCAATTTCAGAATACTCTGCATGGAAAGTATTCAGTCTTTCCCCATTTTGTTTGCCTGATTCCAAAGTCTTGCTGCCCCCCAATTATAATGGGTGTGCACTTCAAAAAAATCATCATTTTAATTCCATATCATAATGTTGGGAAGGGCATGATTATCATTTTCTTAAAAGATCTGGAATATTGTTATCATATTGGAAAGAAATGTGAGGAAAATTTCCATTACAATTAATAGAGGATGTCTGCCCATCAGATTCCTGGAGCAGATATATTTTAAGCAAATGCCACCCAAATTTCAGGCAACTTTGTACTCCCTCTCTGCTAAAGACTGCCACCCCCAAGTTTAAAGTGTATTGGACATAGTCTAATTTTATGGACCCCTGAAAAAGTGCCCCCAAATATCCTTGTTGCCTTTATTTTCTATGGTTTTCTTCAAGCTCATAGCCTGAATCATCCTGCTGCCTCCCTTGTTTGGAGGGGAGGGGGGTTAACAACAAACATTCAGCCTGATTAAGAGTTAATATTATTTTCTGTGCAAAGGTTGGGTTTATTAGATGTGGTACAGGGATATCCTTGGGAACACAAAGCAAAATGTGCATCACAATATATACGCAACACAAAATTTCAAGCAGTCATTAAAAATAGACACTTTGAGTATACAAGGGGGAAAATCCCAAAATACTATCAAATAGTGATCCAACAGAAGAGCATTTGCCCATCACTAATGCACATTCTCGTTTTTGCTTCGAAAACTGGATACGTAAAACTCAGACACATGTCAGACTCATCATTATGCACATACCTTCAGAAATGTTTCTGGCAACCACAGTAGCTGTGAAAGTGGACTTTTGCTGTATGTGCATGTATATGCAGGTCCCAAGACAAAAAACAGCTTAATTTTTTCAGCAATCTGAGGCACCACAGAAAATGCCACGAAACCTGTCACAATGAGAAATTCCAGTTCGCATAATTACTTTGTTTGAAGTAATGCATTATTCTCAGACAGATGGTTTTTTATAAAATTAGTATACAAAAACAAGAGGTGAAATTAAGCAAATATAAAAAGCAGGACCCTGAAGAGGCGACATAGAAATATTCCAAATTAATATTCCAAATTAACAAATAATTGCCAAAACTTGTGAATTTTATCTGAACCAACCAAGCATACTTTTAGCACAGCACCAGCTTGAGCAAGGGACTCAAAAGAAATGGTTAAAAAAACAATTCCTCTGTCCCTCTTTTTATACATGCCCTATCAGATGTTAAAATATAGGAAAGGCTCCTTTTGCTTCTCCCTCATGGATCACTGCCTTGACATGGCGAGGGGGCTTGCGTGGTTCGATGAGGCTGTGGGCTATGCAGTGGAGGACCATCCAGGATGGACTGGCCACAGCAGAGAACTCAGTCCAAGTGTGATCCACTGGAGAAGGAAATGGCAACCCACTCCAGTATCTTTGCCAAGAAAACCCCATGGACAGTAACAAAAGGCTACAAGATATGATGCCGGAAGATAAGCTCCTCAGGTCAGAAGGTGTCCAATATGCTACTGGGGAAGAGCAGAGGGTAAGTACAAGTAACCCCAGAAAGAGTGAAGCGGCTGGGCCAAAGCCAAAAGGACGCTCAGCTGTGAATGTGTCTGATGGTGAAAGGAAAGTCCAATGCTGCAAAGAAGAATACTACATAGGAACCTGGAATGTAAGATCTATGAATCAAGGTAAGCTTGACATGGTCAGAAATGAGATGGCGAAACTGAACATCAACATCTTGGGAATCAGTGAACTAAAGTGGACAGGAATGGGTGAATTAACTCTTCCATTTCCAGCTCCCTGATGCCTGTTTGACCTCCTCCTGGCAATGGGGATGCTCCAGGCCCCTCCCTGCTTGACCCCTCTGTCCCCTTCTCCTGGCCCCACTGCCTCTCAGTCATGGAGCCAACGTGCCTCCAGTTCCCAAGCACACCCTGGCTGTTCCTCTGTCTGTCACTCGCCTGCCGCTATACTGCCCTCTTCCAGGCTCTACCACCAGGATCTCCACCAGTCACTCGCCTGCCACTGTCCTCAGCCCCAGGCAACACTCCCAGGCTTCCCTTTACCTGTGTGCTGCAGCTTCTGAATGCCCACACCCCTCTAGGCTTTCACCCCTTGCTGGCTTGCTGCCAGACTTTAAAAGACATTGCAGCCAGATTTGGCATGCACGCACGCGCACACACATGCTGGTGGGTTGTGCTACTTCCAGCTCGGCTGTGTTTATATTCAGCCGAGTCATTAAGAGTGTTCTGCTGCCAGTCTGGGAAACTGCCCAACTGGTCACAAGTATAATTTTATATGCCAGATTAAAATACAATCCATTTTATGTTGTTGAAGCAATAATATAAGTTTAGGCTTCACAAGCAAATATTGAATATACTGTAACTTTTACCAACATTCCCAGAGAGAAGGGTCATGGGGAAAAAAGAAAAATAGGAAACACACAGTATTTTCTACTGGCTTTAGAGCCATCTGATCCAGACTGCCCCCAACATTTGGAATACAATAATCCTCATAACCCTTCTTCTCTGATTTAAATACCATTCTGCTACAGCAGTATGGAATAGAATGCAAACACATAAGAATAGATAATATCTTCCTCTTAACAACATAAGAAGAGCCCTGCTTGACTGGACCAGTCATCCATCTAGTCCAGCATCCTGTCTCACACAGTGGCCAACCAGTTCCTCTGGACAGCCAACAACAGTGCAGAGAGGCGGAGGCCTTCCCCTGATGTTACCTCCTGGCTTTGGGATTCTCCTCAGTCACCATGCCTAATAGCCATTGATAGACCTACCCTCCATGAATCTCCCTGTTTCTGGCTCTTCTGCTTAGATGAATTATAAGCTTCATTCTTTACATACCTAGGATGCTTCCCTGACCATGGCCACCATAATAGATTTTTTCCTGTCCACTTTTTTGCAGAATAAAGTCTGTCATGGCTGAAAGATCATAAATGCCCATTTCATGAAAGCTGAAAATGAGAACATGCATTGGTTAATATTAACTGTATTCATAAGCCTTTGTTCAGCATTGTGCCCATTTCTAGTAATAAGGAGGAATGTACAATAAATCTTCCAGTGTGTCAGTTCAATTCAAACAATATTGTTTCCAATAGGTTCTTTTAAGTGACCTGACAGATCTTTCACTATCAAACTTGTAACTCTTTTGTGATGTTTAAAAATGGATTATTTATTCTACTAACTCATATCTAAATAGTTACTAACTAGTTTCTTAAATACAATCCTTTTGTCCATGTCCATCCTTTTTAGAGTTCTGGGTTCTGGATTTTTGTCTGTTTGTGGTAACGGTCAATTTTGTTTGCTTTCCCTCAGAGACCGAGATTCAAACCAAGGCTGTAATCACACAAACTTAATAATCCACTTTCAAAGCACTTTCAATGCACTTTCCAACTGGATTTTGCCAGTTCACACAATAAAAGCCAGTTGGAAAGTGAATTGAAAGTGGATTGAAAGTGGATTATTTAGTGTGTGTAACTGCAGCAAGTCTCCCAGGGTAATCTATAACAGCCTTTTTATACTATTCTGTACTACATCATGATTGTTTCATGGCATACACAGTGGCTTCGTAAGGCAAATAACTTTATTCAGCCCTTGGAGGTTTCCAGTGACAGATATTATATTATACAATGGCAAATTTTATTATACAATCTGTCTTCCTCATGACAATTTAGTAGCAATGCCCAATGATGGTCCTTTACCTATCCTCTGCACCGAGTTTTTTCTTCTTTTGTAAGCAATCATCTGCTCTGTTTCTTGAGCTGCCATTCTACAATGCAAATTTGTTGGTGGAAGACAAATATCTCAGCCTGTCAATCACACACATGCTATAACCACTAAATCAAACAAGGATATATTGTACTTTTTTTAAAAAAATTGATGCCTGCTTGAGAAATAGAGGTCATACCAAAAGCAGTTGTGGATTGAACTGCATTTATTTAAAAAGAGATATGGGTTAATTTCTTTTTAAAAGTGGCACAGAAATATTCATTCAAAGTGGGGAGGGGAGTCTCACTCTGCATGCAATAATATCTCAGAGCAGGGAGGAAAAAATGTTCTTTCAATCCCTACTGATTTACAAAGTGGAGATTAACATCTTAAAATAGAATGTTTAAAAACAGACAATTATCATGCTATCATAAAATAGCCAACTGAATTCAAATTTTGGACAAAGAACTCGGGGAAGAATAAAGCAGGGACCTCTGGACATTAAAAACAATCACAGAAAAATTGAAAATGAACAGCTTCCTGTGTCCTTAGTTAGCATATTCAGCAAACCAAAAAGACTAGAGAAGCCTTTGAATACCAAAAATTTGCCCAAGAAAGAAGGAGAAGAGCTGTTTACTGGAACCACCTTATTTAATTCTACAGCAAAACAGATCAAGGGACTGCAGCCATGAGCCATGTGAATAGGAAATTATACCTTCACAACAAAGATTTTTCTGGAACAATAAAAATTTAGGCTACAGGTCAGGACATCATAATGATGTGGTTCCAGGATTGGATGTTGCATTCCAAAACAGCCTCCAACTAGGAATGTGCATACTGACATGCCTCTGCCAAAAATGTATTTTAGGGTCATTCTGGATATTTACACAATGGAAAATGGAATTATGGAACTTTCCAGAATTACCACACACAAAAAAGTGGAATGGGGGATATTTCTGGGGTCTGAAGCAGGTGGTTTTAGAGCTCATGGCACCAAATTAGCTAGGAACCAATTCCACATTCTTCTCTAAAGGGACTGAATGAAGGGGTTCAACCGTATGTATGGACCCCTGAATAGGTACTCCCAGCCATGTGGACTCTATTCTTTCCTATTGGGTAAATATGGGATCTTTCTGGGGGTCTAAAGTGGTTGTTTGTAGAGCAAATAGAACCATAATACTAAGTCCCCTCTCCCAAAGATTCCTAAGGTTTAAGGGGACTGGACAAAGAATTCCAGTGTTATGGACCCCAGAACAAGGTGTTGGCCTCATGGCTGCAGTCAAGTCTAGTTTGGTCATGAATCTCTGAGACACAGATAAACAGATAAATACATTGGTTAAAGAGGGACATCTGAAAATTAACTCACTGGGAGGAAATGGCACTTGTTTAGAATATTTGGAATGATAAGCAGTCATGTATTAGAGGTTAACTTGAGGTTAAATTGAGGCTTTCTCTAATTGTGTTTTGGGTGTATCTTGATATTTTGTAAACACAACATATGGATTTAATAGTTACAGACTATGTCTCCATTAGCCTTAAAACAGCAAATAAATATCAACATAGGTAAAGATTTTTAATTTGGTTTAAACATGACACCACAAATCGTACAGAGAATATGCCAAGGAAAGGAAATGAGGAGGGCAAGGGGAGCAAGAGGCAAAACTACCCTACTTCTCATGACCTCCATGAAGGCAAACATGTGACCCAGGGAGAATTGTATGAGAGTAAGTAGTCCTCTGGTCCCAACTAGATCAGAACAGAATGCGAGATGTATGCCTTGCTTCATGTGTGAGTCCCCAAGATGTTCTGAGATGTCAAGAAGGCCAGAGCTATTCCTTCCTACTGGGGCTCATGATGGATCACCATGTAACAAACATTTCAGCCACCTCAACACTAGATCTGAGACCACCTCTTAAAGCTCGAGGAGGAAGATGGTTGGGCAGCAATTTGAATGCCACATTTCAGTCATTTCACACCAAATTTACTTACCTGAAATCCCAAAATTCCTGTTGATCAATTGTAAGGAATTGGTGTCTTCTAGACCAGGAGTTGCCTCTACTATTTCCAATCCACACATCATATCCAGCATCTGCTAGCATGAATCCCAGGCTATTATTGGGCAGATTTGCTACCCAAACGCTGCCCTCCAAAAGCAGGCTATGCATCAGCAGTATAGCTCCCTTTGATCCTGAAAATACAAAGGAGTCATGAAGCTAAAACTTCTGTGATATGGCACATAAAATTAAAATTTCCATAACATGGTGAGAATCTTGGATAAGGATATAAGGTAGAAAGATTGAAATCCATGTTCAGCTGGAAAACTCAAGTTGGAACTGCAATTATACACCAATGCATAGAAAGAAAACCTGACAACTGTTTTTAAAAATAATTTAAACTAAGCTCCCCCCCCGGTGGGGGGAGGTGTTAGCCGGAAAAACAGAATGTCCAGCTCATAAGCTCGGAAGCCTGGAAAGATCTCTTCAGCATTAAGAAGCCTGCGATGGACCAATCCGGCCAGGTGGTGGCAGTGCGACGCTGTGACTCGAAGCAGTCCTGGAAAAACGGACGTCATCGAGCCAAGCCGAGTGAATGCCGTCTGGAACAAGTCTAAGTCTACAGCTGAACAAAAAACCCATCGGCTGCAAATGTGTGCGACTTAAACGATTTATATGTTGTCCTCCCTTACCCCCTATGAATCATTGTTAGTCCCTTGTTAATATGTGTAACTGTAAATCGCTCAGAGCCAGCAGCTCTGCAGGATTGAGCGATTAATAAATTGAAAGGTATTATTATTATTATTATTGTTGTTGTTGTTGTTGTTGTTGTTGTTATTATTATTAAAAAACCCCATTTCCCTATCCAACCCAGTAAAATTCTTGCAAGGTACATTCTATTAAATACTCTGGCAAATAAATGCCAATAGCATATCGAATTCGCTTCAAGGGGCTGGTTCTTACCTTTAAGGACCTTTATAGTCAGGGACCTACATACCTGAGAGACCGCCTTTCCCCACATGTTCCCCAGAGAGCACTGTGATCAGGGTCCCAAAATCGACTGGCCCTCCCGGGTCTCAAGGATGCAAGGCTGGCTATAACCAGGGCCAGGGCTTTCTCGGTGGTGGCTCCGCTGTGGTGGAATGAGCTCCCAAAAGAGATCAGGGCACTGCGGGACCTCATGCAGTTCTGCAGGGCATGCAATACGGAGCTTTTCCACCAGGGCTTTGACTAAGGAGCCACCCCCAATAGTTGGAATGGCAGAGAACCCTGTCCCCTGGAGTCACCAGAAACAGCCTCTGCCAGCAGCATAAAGGATTAGATCTATGGGCTGACCACCAGGATAGATCACTGAAGGTTGGCCACCAGCGTCTAATAATATTAATTTATCAGTATTACTTAATGTTTAGCACCTTATAATGTTGGATTGTTTTAATATAGTTTTAGGATTGTTTAAATTGTTTACTTGTGTGTTTTTATTTTTTTATGTAAGCCGCCCTGAGCCGGCTTCAGCTGGGAGGGCGGGGTATAAATCTGATAAATAAATAAATAACACTTCCAAAGTTTCCAGGACAGTGGACACCCCCCCCCCATTTTCAGGGAGCCTGTTCCATGAAATGGGAGCAACCAGAGAGAAAGCATGGGCCCTCATCAGCTCCAGGTGAGCCACCTTACTAAAAAGCCACCCAGAGGTGGCAAGCTGAAGACTGTGGTAATCATTAAACCACTCCATTTAGAGGGAATTATAATAGCTGAAGTCGTGCATGTGCAGTTTTTTCTCATACCTACATAACAAGCTGCATACCTATATAACCCAAGCAATAGAAGAGCCAGAACTCAGGAACATTAGTTATTCAATTAGCAAGGACTTCAGGAGAGAAAGACACAGTGAAATAAAGGAAGCAGCTAAGGGAAAATTCTCCTGAGGACAAGCACAAATCAGCTGCCAAAGAGAAGCAAAGGAGAAACAATTGACGAAAACTGGTATCTCATTCAGCCAAGAGCTTTGACCAATATAAGCCTTGGGCCCTGCTGACTGACTTTAAAATGCAATATGTATGGAAGTAGCTCTACACTACTCCATCAACATTTTTAATTTCAAAAGTGTTCAGTTTATCTTCAGGTTAGAGCCAGGAAAGGCTAAAAATTGTTCTGAACTGGACATGCAGAGGTACAAAAGGAGTTCACATTCCAGTTTGGTGTAGTGGTTAAGTGCACAGACTCTAATCTGGGAAAACCGGGATTGATTCCCCACTCTTCCACTTGCACCTGCTGGATGACCTTGGGCAAGCCATAGTTCTGGCACAGCTGTCCTTGAAAGGGCAGTTCTTGAAAGAGCTCTCTCAGCCCCACCTACCTCACAGGGTGTCTGTTGTGGGGAGGGGAAGGGAAAGAAGTTTGTAAGCCACTCTGAGACTCCGAGTAAAGGGTGGGGTATAAATCCAATCTCTTCTCTTCTTCTTCTTCTTTCATTCTATATTTTGCATTGCCCCTCTAGCCACATAATAGGCATACGGTGGCAGCCCCAATTCTGTCCATGGGTCTGTCACTGTTGAGTGTATGTGCATTATGTGTACACTCAGAGACTCTGGTGCTATAATGATTCCCCCTTTGGTTCCCTTTATTTTATTTTATTTTTGCTAAGCAGCCCCTGTCTTCTCTGTTTCTCTGTCTGTCCCACCCTGTTGTTTAAATGTATATAAATATATGCTGACCCAGCTTAAGGAACTGAGGGACTGACTGAAATCCTTTTTTCTTTGTGGGTGACACTAAGATTACATTAACAGCTAAATTCGGCATTAAGATAAAAGCAAAACCCTCAGATACCTGGGAAGCCATTATTATGAGTTCATTCTAGAATGACTGAACTGCTTTTGACACAAGCTACCAGCAGATGATTTGTTCCTTGCCGGAACTGACAACACTGGCTACCAGGCAAAATCTGGCTTCAAATCCAGTCTTATCAGTTCCAACAAGATAGAATGTTACAACATAAGGAGTAGGGGTCCCCCACCAAGAAGTCCTGCCCCCCAGCTGCTGATCAGCTGGCATGCAGGGGGACTTACCTGGAGAAAGAGAAAGGGCCAGTCCTGGTCGCCAGCGTCACATAGGAAGTGATATCTAGGCAACTCTCTGGTATTTGGGCAAAAACTCTATGGTAGAAGCTAGTTTTACCATAGAGTTTTAACCCATGTACCAGAGAATCTCCTGGCAGGGACCTGGCAACCCTAAAAAAGACCCCGGTGGGATCAGACCACTGGGGTCCATCTAGTCCAACAGAGGCCAACCAGTTACTTGTCCACTGCACTAGTCACCCCTAATTCCAGATCATTTATGAACAGTTTAAAAAGCACTGGTCCAATACAGATCCTTGTGGGACCCCAATGCTTACTTCCCTCTATTCAGAGAACTGTCCATTTAATCCTACTTTTTGCTTCCTGTTGTTTAACCAATTTTTAATCCTTAAGAGGACATGTCTTCTTATCCCATGACTACTAAGCATATTCAGGAGTATTTGGTGAGGTACATTGTCAAAAGCCTTTTAAAAGTCCAAGTATATCATGTCTACTGGGTCACAGTAATTAATCTACATGTTTGTTTGCTTTTTCTGTGTAAGACTGATTTTACAGAGAGATTTCATCTTGAGAGGATGCTGAAATTTATAAAAGTGTCCAAAAGCCTGTTGTAACCATTAAATGTTACCATCTTAGCATTTATTATAGTTCCCAAGACTTCTTGAAAGGGAGCCAATGACTGTTCTGTTTGTAGCAAAGAAATCAGTAGGTTCCAACTCAAGAGTATCATAAGAGCAATCAAATAATGGAATTGCTCCTTCTCAGTAGAAAAACCTGATAGCCCTGTGCCTTTCAGCACATCAATCCTGCTGACAGAAGGGGTCCCCCACCAAGAAGTCCTGCCCCCCAGCTGCTGATCAGCTGGCATGCAGGGGGACTTACCTGGAGAAAGAGAAAGGGCCAGTCCTGGTGGCCAGCGTCACATAGGAAGTGATATCTAGGCAACTCTCTGGTATTCGGGCAAAAACTCTATGGCAGAAGCTAGTTTTACCATAGAGTTTTAACCCATGTACCAGAGAATCTCCTGGCAGGGACCTGGCAACCCTAAAAAAGACCCCGGTGGGATCAGACCACTGGGGTCCATCTAGTCCAACAGAGGCCAACCAGTTACTTGTCCACTGCACTAGTCACCCCTAATTCCAGATCATTTATGAACAGTTTAAAAAGCACTGGTCCAATACAGATCCTTGTGGGACCCCAATGCTTACTTCCCTCTATTCAGAGAACTGTCCATTTAATCCTACTTTTTGCTTCCTGTTGTTTAACCAATTTTTAATCCTTAAGAGGACATGTCTTCTTATCCCATGACTACTAAGCATATTCAGGAGTATTTGGTGAGGTACATTGTCAAAAGCCTTTTAAAAGTCCAAGTATATCATGTCTACTGGGTCACAGTAATTAATCTACATGTTTGTTTGCTTTTTCTGTGTAAGACTGATTTTACAGAGAGATTTCATCCTGAGAGGATGCTGAAATTTATAAAAGTGTCCAAAAGCCTGTTGTAACCATTAAATGTTACCATCTTAGCATTTATTATAGTTCCCAAGACTTCTTGAAAGGGAGCCAATGACTGTTCTGTTTGTAGCAAAGAAATCAGTAGGTTCCAACTCAAGAGTATCATAAGAGCAATCAAATAATGGAATTGCTCCTTCTCAGTAGAAAAACCTGATAGCCCTGTGCCTTTCAGCACATCAATCCTGCTGACAGACAAGGCAGGACTTTCTGCATACTCAGATGACTCCACAGTATATCTGTTTATACCTAAAAGGAATAAGAAATTCTCCCTCCTGCCAAATTGCCTGAAAAGCTGAGCATGGGTGAGAAGCCATGGCTCAGTGGGAGAGATTTGCTTAGTATGCAGAAGGTCCCCAGGATCTGACAGTAGGTGATGTGAAAGACATCTGCCTGAGACCCTGGAGAGCTGATGCCATTCTGACAATACTGTCTTTGATGGACCAAGGTTCTGAATCAGTATAACAAAAAATCGGGTGAAGGCTGGAGATCTCCTGGAATTACCACTGATCTCCAGAGAAAATGGCTCCTTTGAAGTGTGGAGTTTATGGTAGAAGAAGCAGAGGTGAGGGAAATGGCATAGCCACTCCTGCAAGTTTCTTGCGGGCCCCACTTGTGGGTGTAAAAGTATATCGCCATACATTCCCACCATACTTTACCTCCTGGAATTCTGCTGAGGCTCAAATAGTAGCTATCATATGTGAGTACTTCATATTCTTCACAAGGATATCCCCAGTACTGGATTTTCTCACTCTGTGGGTACAAAAAAAATGTTCAGCAAAAATCAGACTTTTGGTGGAAGTTGCAAGATTGCCTCTGAGAGCCAGTAACACAGGATAGACGATAAAATGACAATCCTGTGAGTAAAGTTTGGTTTCTTGAGGAGTTGTATGAGGAAAAGGAGGAGGGGTAGAAAAACACATCAAGTACAGTGATTATTTTTGTCTGAGCTCAATGTACCACATTCATAAATTGTTCAGGATTCATTTTGGTTTGGACTTCTCCCAGATTCGCAGTCCCTTGTACAACCAACATAATGATCAGTAGCCACATCCTGTAGGACCTGCAAAACAAATGATATTTTAGATTTGAAAGAGAATAATATTTTATTGTTTTTAGAATGTGTTTGGATTCAAGAGAACAATGGCACATTTTCAGGGTTTTGTAAGGTTTTCTGGATTGTATCACTTCCAACTACAGGGTAGGGGAAGTGTATATTTAAATGTCCCCCTACAGAAGGGGGGGGGGAGTCGCCCTATCCATAAATCAATGTAACAAGGAAAATACTAGACTGAACGTGGTCTCTCAGAAATATTTATTTTCTATGATTGTGAACTCTATACGTGCATGCATTGGAACATTTATACGTGCAACCACCCTCTTGCTGCCTGAAATGGAATCGGGGGGGGGGGGAATTATCACTAAACTTTCCTAACTGTTCATGTTGCAGCTATCAGTATAGATGCTATCAGGAATCACCCCACTGAGGGATTTCTACCAGTCCTTTGGCATTGCCAGGTTATCCAACAGACATATTATTAACCACAGGATAATATAATATTCACAATGAAAGCAGTCATTGTTATCTCGTCTTCTTCTCAAAAGGCCACGGGTACTCGACACCAAATTGTTCCCACCAGCTCCCAGTGCTTCCTGTGTCTGCAGGACATTACAAACAGAAGCAGACAAATTGTCTCAAGGTCATGACCTGAAGGATCTTTGTTCTTCCTATCCAACCCTCTTTAAAAAAGGTGCACAACATTCAGCTCGATAATGATTTCTGGAGAACTTGAAAGCTCATACACTGTTTTGTACCATGTTGATTGGTCTATAAAAAGTATTACATGGCTTTTGTCCGTGCCTGATATTAAATATAGTTTAACCATATATGACTGTGGACCACTAATAATGGGATGGAAGTAGCTGTCCAACTTCTCAGTTGGCAACACCTGAAGAGAAAGATTGGGCTGCCTTAGGAAGACAGAGAATGAAACAACTCCCAGTCAGACTTGAGGTTTTTGCATCTTGGGCCAACAGTAATAAAAAGTGGCCCTGTTGTGGCTTGATGAGCTAGCTAGCCTAAGGCCTATGTTTGAAACCACTGTCTCCAGACCTTCCAGGGAGACTCTCAATCATAAGTCAACCACCAAAGACCTTTGACCATGGACCCCTCATCTTCCATCAATTAACTTGGACCTGAACCCTGATCTGCCCTATGATGTAGCAAGTCCTACTTCTGATTCCATTTATGGGTAAGGAAAAGCCCGACCAAACTCAATTGTGATACACCTTCCAAGACCAGAGGGAACCATTTTTATCAGTAATTTTCAAAGGTGGGTTTGTGATAGAAATCAGCTGCCTTCCTTCCAACAAAGAACTATACAATAAACATGAAACTGATCAACAAAAATCACCTTGAAAGGTACCAGTATCTTTTGAGGCTGAAGCTTTGGGATTCTTCTTTTTTCTGTGATAAAATATATACATATCCATCTATAGCTTCAGGATATTTTTTACAATCTTATTCCAAAGTAGTGCCTTTTATTTTTAACAAGACTATTATGATTTACTGTTGATTTTTAAGATTTTATTGCTAATAACATCTTTTAAAGTTTATTATCATGCAAGCCATTCTGAACTTTCTGGAGAGGAAGGATATACACTGAGGATGGGAAATAAGTTTTTCCATTATTTCCATACCAAAATTAGTATTATAGCATGAAAAACATCATTAAATATAGACTTTTATGTCTACCTTTCTCAGCATCCAGTTAAAAAAACAAGAGGAGATGAGAAAAGAGAAAAGAAAGGGAACTACTGCCCCCAAGAGTTAAAATGAGGAAAAATGTACTACATTTAAAAACAGGCAGTAAAATAATTATTTCCATCTATATCACATAGTCATTCATATAGTGAAAACTCACCTAAATACTCCTTTATTTCCTTCTCATTTCAGGCAAAACAATATAAGACCAATCACCACAAGACACTTTGACATGTCTTCAGAAAAGAGTTATATGCTAGTTCCAACTAAGACCTGAATGTTTCCTTCATAAATGTCTCATGTCCTCCAGCTGTATGAGTTTATGGGGTGGAGTGTTTTTAATTATTCCATAGAGGTTGTTGATATTTACTTAATTTATTTGGAAAATAAATTTGTATTCATGTACAAGTACTGTACATATTTATGAAGCTGAACTGTAAAATGTACCTGTTTTAGCAGGCTCTCTATTCTGACTGGGGGATTATAGGAGCCTCAATTCAAAACTCTGGTGGTTTGCATGGATTGTTTTAAACCACAGGACAAAATAGCAACTTATAGATAGCTTATAGATAGATGTTGATACAGATACATGATGTTCAGACTCTTGGACTTAAATGCAGCTTTTTTCGTTAGCATAAAGCGCTGCTGGATGACTAATCCTTTCTTTTGTTGATGTTCCCTAATGAGTAGGAGATGATAGCTTGATGGCTGAATGGTAAGGTTTATAGTCATTTGGGGGGGAAATGATGACGGGAAGGGATTCAACAGTTTGGGAAAGTTTGGCTTAAAGAAAGTACCTAGCAGGATGACCTATTCCATTAAATAAATGGTTTCCATTTGCAAACTTTGCTATCTCAGTGTAATCGATTATATTATGTTTTAATTGATTGAATTATGTTTTTATCGTTTACTTATGTCAAATTAATTTTTTATGTTTATCTTTGTTATATATAAAAATTAACTAGCACTGCTTCCAGTTCCTGACTTCCATCCCATGTAGCAACGACTATTTATTCCTCCCCTCTGCTTTCTGATCTTCATCCAACTTCCAGTCTATAAAAGGTTGTGTCCACTTAGCCCAATAGCTAGTTTTCTTTCCCTTATAAAGGGGATTTTGGTCTCACTTTCCTTTGAGAATTCTTTGAACAGTCATCTATTTAATGCCTACTGTTCGGGGCTTAAGGACTAAAAATATGTTCTCTACAGGCTATTCCTTTGTTATAGTAATTACTTGAAAAATGGGTATTACTAGTTTGGAAACGATCCTCTGGTAACATACATAGTTTTCAAAGGATTTAATTATTAACTGTGCAACAGATGATAAGATTTATATAAGTAGACATTTGAATCAACTAGCTAAAAATTACAGGCATAAAAGGTATAACAAGGATGGGAACGGCATCTAGGTATGTACAAAGAATTTCTTCTTCAAGTTTCTGTTTTGTTCGTTAATACTGCATCAAGTTTGGATTTGGAATTGCACCATGTGAAACATTCCCAAACCAGCCCACCTTGGCATATCACAAATTCCAAAAGGCCTTTAACGTGCAAGCCTTCAGAGAGAATTTATTTGTGGGAAATCCCTGGGCTGTCCTTTTTTACACATACACACTCAATTTGGCTTGTTTCCTTTTATCCTCTTCTTTACTTTTTTGGGTGCACACTGCAATAAACTACAAGCAATTCTTATTCAAAATGTAATTTTCAAGTAACCTTTTTAGTCAGTACTACCAACTTCTGGAGGTCAGGAGGGCAGAATAAGTCAGAAATGTTTGATTAACTGTTGCTTGTACTGTAGTGTGAACAAACAGAAACAGTGCTTCTGAATTTCAAAATCTTTTCCAACATGTCAAAGTCCTGATGATAAGGAGTCATCTTCATCCCTAAGTAGACACTGTATCCTGTTGAGGCACAGGGCAAAATCAGGGAACTAGATAGTCACTATTCACCCCCCCACCAAAGCATATATAGTGATAAAAATCCAGTACATCCCTTACCTGGTTGCAGTTCTCAACTGCCACAGTCTGAGCCATAATCAAAGTCCCGGAATACCTCTGTTTTAGCTTACTAGAAAATTAAACAGAACACAAGAGTGAAATAATGGAGTAGAGTGGCTTCATTAAAAAAAAAAAAAGATGAGGAATTTCAGAGATACGGACTCTCACCAAACTATAATTTGCTGCCATCCTGAAGAGATATGCAATAGAAAACCTACTGATTAGAAGTCCTGTTTTAATAGCATTGAGATAACTAGCAATTATCAGAGGTATACAAATAATACCTTTGAAGATGCCAGCAACTCTTTTATCCCCTTGCTGCCCCAAAGGGTTTTTTGGTAAATGATTATGGATTTTGTTGGCCTGACTTTTGGGTTTCCAGAGTACATGCAAATGGCAAGCTGAATTCATTGTTGAACAGAGCCTTGTGCATGCACCTGTATTGCTTTTATGGTGTTGCATTAAAGACTGGCATAAAAGGGGCAGCCACAACTTTCTACAGAGCTGTGTTCCCTCTAAGCTGAGTTAGTGTGAGCTAGCTCCCAGTTTTTTAGCCTCCGGCTCACACATTTTTGTCTTAACCTGGGAAGGATGGCTCCAGAGCAAACTAATTGATGCAGTAGCCAAATCACTCACTCCCAACTTTAATGCCAGTAGCTCACAAAGTAGAACTTTTGCTCGCAAGACCCGACAGCTCAGAGGGAGCATTGGAGCTGAGTATGCACTCTCACATGAATACCCCTGGATCTGAGGTGCTCTGTGTCATGAGTGGCTCTTTTGCCCTGCTAATTGCTCCACCATGTTGCCTATTCTTTATGTACTTGTAATGTGAACAGAACAACCATTTCCTGACTTCATTCTTGGAATCTTGCATCTAAACTGCAAAAGTGGTACTCTTGTTCATTTTTCTTTCTTTCTCTGAGTATAAATGCACTATATTCCATTGCATAACCTTACTATGAACCTTTAATACAGTGATATAACAATAGTTTATTTTTCAGGCTTCTGAGAAAACCCAATTTTTTAAAAAAATATTTATTAGAAGAATTGTTTTATCCTAACAAGTGTCCTCAGTATTGTATACTTCTGGAAATATCCAGTTATCCTCTTCACATTGTCTCTCCCAGTTCCCTTACATACTATAGCCCCCACCCCACATGGGTTTTGTACATGGAGGTCCCATGATTCTCAGCATTATTACTGAATACATATTATCAGCAATCTCTCTGGCAAACATAGGAAGAAATTTGCACCGTAATGTATGTGCAGTTTTTAGCACAGAAGACATGTCAATTTTCTCAA